GCAGGGATGTAAGAGAATCGGTAATGTTAATAAAGGGTAATGGTGGAATATTAGGTGGGTTTTTGATAGAAGTGGACATTAATATCATTGATGTCATATATTGTAAGTGTATATTAATAGTATTTTTGAACAGTAAGTATATATAAAGCCCATTCTTCTATAATTCTAAAATAAAATATTAATAAATATATAAATAATAATTTTATATTTATACTTAACATTCTTATTTTTATCTATATAAGGAATTAACAAAAGAATTGAATAAAAAATTATTCAATTCATCTATTCTTCTGCTTTAAATCCTTTATAATGCTTAATATTTATTAGTGGTCAACCAAACTCTAATAGTATAGTTTGTATATTATCAAGTATATGTTTTCTAATTTTTCTCCAAATATTAGATTTTAAAAAATATAAAAGAAAGGGATTATTATAGCGAATCAGAGTTATCTTGGTATTCTGTAATCTGAATCAGATAAAATCTATACCATTCGATTTTTCTCATCGAGAGGAATCAAATGGTGTAAATTTCACCCAATTCTGATTACTGGATCACGAGATATCCTGATTCGGCATAATATCACCCTTTATCATAATATATAGAATATAATAGTTAAAGATATTATGACGAATCAGGATATCTTGTAATCCTGTGATAGGAATTGGGTGAAATTTACAACATTCAATTCCTCTCATAGTGAGAAATTGAATGGTATTGATTTCATCTGATTCAGACACAAGATCACGAGATAACTCCAATTCGCTATAATACCTCTACGGGCAAAATTTTCTCATTTTCTTAAAAATATTTCAAATTTGAATATTTTGTGATCCAGTGATCTGAGTCGAATAATTTTGGTATCATTTAATTCATCTTATCGAGTTGAGTTGAATGATACCAAAATTATTTGATTTTGATTAATGTATCATATGATATGATCGAAAATAGTTAACTTCGCCATAATACCCCCCTCCCCCTTATATTATTATAGTTTAATTCTGTTTTTGCTGCAGAAAAAAACTGCCCAGACCGATGATGATACATTGCAGGTATTACTCCTTCAAAAAATAAATGCATTATATCTGTAGGAAATAATTGTGGAAATTGTATTGTATTAAGTTCAAATAAAATACATAATCCTTTAATTTCTAATATAATAAATAAATAAATAAATAAATAAATAATTAATTAATTAATTAATTAATTAATTAAGAACTTTTATTTAATATAAAATTACCTCATAAGTTAATTTGTTTATTTCTTTTAGATCCAGAATGTATTTGTATAACCTTCATAACATCTTCACTATACTCTTTATGAGATCGCATTGGAAGATTTGAAAAATTATAAGATAAAGATTGTAAACTAGAATTTAATAGATAGTAAATATAATCCTTATATATGCCACGAATATTACAAAATCGGCAAGCTATATATGAATTATGGCTTATTAAATTTAGAATTTTGTAATTGCAGGAATATCACCAGTCTATATAATTGTATGTGCTTATAATATAAATTTTATATTTTTATAATCAGTTATTTCAACTCTACCTATTAATATAATAATAATAATAATATATTTAACTTTTAAAAATTATTAATTAATAAAAAAATTATTAATTAATAAATACATATATTCTAATATTTTAAGCTCATTAACTAATGGTTGAAGAAATGTATCCATTATTTTTGGTCTATTTGGTCTGAGAATTATTCTAGCAATAAGCAAATTTTCTTTTTTTATACGTTTATCAGGAGGTAAGTTTGTATTAATATATAAAAAAACCTAACAATCAATTCATTTTTGTCAAAATATTTGGTAATCATCAGTAGATCCAATAAGGCATATATTATAAGGATTAGAAAAAAATCCTTCTTGACAAAGATCTTTATACAAAATACTATTAAAAATATCATTATAAGATCTTCTATTAGATTGATATATAGATTTATATAAAATTTTTTCAATATAATTTTGATCTTTAAATTGAATTTTAAAATAATCTTTAAAAGAAAAATATGTAGCCTTTTTGCGAGTCTTCTGTTAAGTGCCTTGGTTAATATAACATAGTTTATTATATATAGAGCAATTAGAAAGCTGTTATATTGTCCAGTAAATGCATAACATAAATCTATATACATATTAATAAATGTTGCTATCAAAGTAACCATATTTGTTAAAAATTTTTTTGTGAAATATAATGTTATATTTTCACAATTGAAAAATTCCAATATTTCTTGATATATTTGATTTGTTAAAGTTTCTTTTTGTGTTTTAAGCTTAAATAATTTAAGAGCTTTCTTCATCAAATCACTTAATTCTTCTGTTTCTGCTTCTGTATAATTTAATAGTAAATATAAATAGTAATAATAATTAATTAAATATTAGTTCGTACTCTCGTTAGTAATAACCAGAGAGCTTAAATAGGTAATCTCCTAGTTAGATTGCAGGTATGGCGGCTAGTGT